GACGGATGGATTTGCCTCGCCTCGATCATCATTTTCACGCGCCCTGTGAGAGGAGCACACATGTGTGCTACACACGCTGGCGACAGATCGCATCGGCTGGATCCACGGCTGGGCCTGCCTGGCAAAACAGGATATGCGGACGGTGCACTCGAACCGCAGCAGAACAGCCAAAGCCAACACCCAGCTAAACAAACACATCTCAATTGAAAGGGGATATTTGATTAAGAATTAATGAAATAATCTATGGTTAATAAGGAGGTGACAGCTTGGAAGGAAGTGCTAACTGAGAAGAGTATTCGACGCTCCTCATAGAAATCATATGTTAATTAAAATATAACGCTACGTAGATACCATTAAGAGTCAATATTCATTCTTTATAAAAGTTTAGGTTAAAACTTAGTTAGGTGGCTTATCAAAACACCTGCAACTAAGTCTCATCTATCCATTAAAAAACCTATAAAACTGAGAAATTGTTATTATTGAATCGTATCTTTGAATCTGAAAATATTTAAGTGCAATACACTCGTAATTATATGTTGTTCCAGCGGTTCTAAGATTTCTCTTGTTTTCTTTAAGATACGATCTTTTTTCCGTTATGCAATTTTCTCGGAACGAATCTGAAATTCACGCTTCACACTTATAAATTAAATTCCCTCAATAAAGGAAGCAACAGCCGCATATCATATACCTTTGTACTCTAACGTTTAGCTGGGCCAAGTAAATCAGGTTTTTAATATGAAATTCCGTCCCCCTGCCAATTTAAGATTCCGAGAATAATTCGTTAATCTTTCATTTGATAAGCCCGCATCGTAATTGCAATTATTGTATTCAAATTGAAGATCAGCTGAGTCGCTCTGTGTCTTCAAGTCAATGCCAGAGAGTAAACGCTGATTTAAAACGAATCCACGTAGCCGAGTATGGTCATAATAGTGTGTCGCCTTGTGTCGTCTGAAGACGCGACGAACGTCTAGTCGTTGCCTTTTTTTCGCTGAACGGTCAGAACGCATCGCCCGACGAATCAATGACCCCCTTTGCGTGTGCTTTTGGTCGAGGGAAAATCGACAGGTTGGCATTTAAACATTAAGTTTAAAAATACAATTTCGCTGAGGAAATGTGTGTGTGAAAAGTGCTAAGCGCAGCAAATAAATATAAAATGTTCAACATGAGTACAGTTGATGTTTTTGGTACGCTTTCCGCTTTCTAACATGTCTCGCAGATCGCGACTAAAAACGCTACGAAAACGCACTCGTAATGCAGCCACACGCTCGTCGTAAAAAGAAACGTGTGCCTTATGTATTTGACGTCTATAATACTATTTATTTTGTTTTTGTGTTTTGCTTTGCACTTATTATTATTATTTTTATAACTATTTTTGTTTGTTTACGCGAACAGGCGCAGCCTGTCGGCGGCAGACGACAAAATTGATAAGATTAGCTTGGAAACTCGGGAACTACCAAAAACCTAGACCCTAAACGGCGGCCTGTCGAACGGCCAGTCGGTCATATACCTGGGAACTAGTATTTACTACCCCCCAGAAAACCCACACATTCACGGTCTTATCAGCATACATACGTCGTTCTATATCAATTTGTTGGCTAGGTGATTCCACGAAACATTTCGTAGCGATACGAATGAGTACTTCGATTCCATCAACAATATCTCCCGCCTCTCTCGCTTTCCATATAGAATCATGACAGGTCTGCACTTGGCATGGAACTAGGTCTCTGTCCATCGAAGCTTAATATTTCAATCAAATGTTCCGACTTTCCATGAAAGGTTTTTCTAAGGAAAACCGTTCGATTGCGAGATTTTGTTAATTTTTGGGCGTGGGTGTGCCTAGGTCTCTTTGTCTTTCCAACTGCAACAATGCCCGGATCAAAAGGTGTTTTCTCGTATTTTCGTATTTGTTGCGCTTTTGAGGGATTTTATCTGTTGTCTGTTGTTTGGCATTTGTTGCGATTTGTCATGGGCGCAACCGAGAATGACCAAGAGAATGACCAGGAACGACCAGAGGGAGCCACCCGTGGCGAATTTATTATTAAGAGTCTCGGGACCAGTGTTGCCGTTTTATCCTTTTTCCGGACAGATCTGTCCGGTTTTTAACTGCGTCAGCCGGAAAAAATTTAAAACATCCCCTAGCCTTTTATCTGTCCTTTTTATATTTTGACCTGGCCCGAAAATTGACCAGATCCGTGTACATATGGTGACGAAAAAGCACATACAAAATGCGCAGCCCAGGCAAATAAAATTAATTTTAAGCCGATAGCAACAAATGCATTGTGTAGACAAGAAGCGGCACTGGCTATGTTTGTTGCACAGCATGCTGCCACAAATCCAGTTGCCACCTCAGCAAATTTTTAATAGATTAATTACAGATTATCAAACAATGTCTTCGTTTTTTATACTAATTATATACTAAAATGTAAAATGTGTTTGTCGAAGAGTATATAGATATTATGTTATATAGTAAATGAATTTTCAGTTAATATATTTTTTGCCATGAATATGAAATTCCTGAGAAATATTTAAAAATGATTGGAAGCAACCAATCTACAATAAATCAAAGTTTAGAAGTTTGCAATGATGACATTGACGATGTTCTAAACGATTTGGCAACCAATAAAGAGTGATATTACATAAAATGTATGGAAAAAATATTTTGTCTTGTTTTTTGTCCTTTTTTTGTAAATTTTTGTCCTTTTCTATCCTTTTTTTATAATCAATCTAGCCTTTTTCTATAACGAGCCGACGGCAACACTGCTCGGGACTGAGAATGTGACTGCACAAAGCAAATCAAAAACATAAACAGGGAGAGATCTGCACCTGGACGGATGCCCAGACAATTGTCAGGCGTTTATAAACGCTAGAAACAAAACAACATACAGTGGTTACTCGAATGTTATTTATGCTTTTGAATGTAATCTATCTAAAAATACAGCTGATACTTTTAAAATAATGATTTTAGGTTATAAATTTTACATTTATCTTTATCTTAGTGCAATATGCAGTCTCAGATTTAACACAAACAACATTCATAGTATTTTCTAAAAGTAATAATATTTATATAAATATTTAACTACTGCTTGATTGTACAAAATAGTACTTAGAGATCACAGCAACTCAGTATCAGTTAAAGTTAAAGTCATAAAATATTTGAGAGCTGGTATGAAATCTTTAAAAATATTTTACCAACTACTTTACTCAAAAGTTGATTGCTTTTAATTGCACTTCATAACCTACTTGTTTTTTATGACTTGCAATACATTTTATAAAAATAACATAACCAAGTGTCCACTGTATTCTAAATATTATCAAAGATATTAAAAGATCAACCAATGTGCTGTTCTAAGAGGATGAAAGGGGATTATATCAGAGTGTGTTAGTATCCACCACGCGCGGTCGTAAAATTCATTTGGCTGTCTAAGCCCAAATCAAATGCTCAGATGCATATCAAAATAATCTAAGCAAATGAAATGAAACGAAATGACAACAACAACAATGTTGGGCACACACAAAGGGGCATAAAATATGTGCGTACAACACCCCAGAGCCAAGGAAAGGAGTTGGAGAACATGGAACCCATAAAATTGACAGCTGATCTTTTTCTCTCTCCCTTCCTTCTTTTTTTTTTTTTTGGGTATCCACTCTTCCAGTAAGGGGTGCCCCTATTCTCTGTTCCTCTTCGTATTATTTGTTCGTTTTTGGCTCTGTTCTACCTGCTCAGGGTCATAAAAAATTAAGAAAAACATGCACAACTCCAAAGAGAGGGAGAGAGAGAAACAGAAGAGAGAAGAAACGTCGCATATTTTAAGCCGAAGGGAATCTCCTTTGGCTGGTCAGAAGACAGGGGACAAGGAGACCTGATCCCAGACACACTTGGCATAGAATCAGAGCCGCCGCCGTCGTCGAAACAACAAAACGCAATTAGAAAACGAATTTCAATTGAAATAGGAGAGGAGGAAGGGGTACAAGGGTACAGGGAAACCAACAGGATATGCCCAGAGATTTGTAATATGATCGCTGAATACTTATGAGACCATGATCATGCCGATGATAATGGCTCTGCTATTTGGCTGGCCATGTCCGCCGATCCACTAGCCGATAAGCGACAAGTCTGCAAGCAGCAGTGAAAGCTTCGGGGAAAATCTACCAGAGAATCGCCAACTAAAACTATAAATGGCCAAAAGACAAGTTAAATAGTAGTAAAGGAAACCCATCGACTTGTAAATACTCCTCTTTTAAGGGAAAATAATGTAAAAAAGTACTCATTTTATTGGTAAAAAAACTGGTAAACTGAAAGGTAGGCTCTTTTACTGCTAAGAGTAACATGATGAGGCACAAATCTGGTTTCTATTTCTTTAATAGTATTAGCTTATAGCCCTTTCAGTATGCTTTTTTAATACCTATTAGTTCTTTAATTTCTTAAAACATAACAAAGTAGAGTATTGAGTTAGATATAAACCCCAATAAAAGGGTTCAAATAAAATATATCTAATAAAGTTGTTTTCTCGTTTAATTGTCATTTCTATAAATACATTTTTGACAGCAACAGAATAACACGTAAATTATTTATCAACTTTCGCGTTTTTATCTACAACAAAGACTCTTATCTTTTCCCTACTAACATGATGTGATAATAAATATTTAAAATTTGAGCCGACCTTATCAAAATTATATTGTTCTTGGACTTTTTCCTCTAAAGGGAGATTAAAGTCTTAAGAAAATTAAATGTCATTGTTATTTATTGAGTAGAATTTAGAATAATGTACTTTAAAATTTATAATCTTTAAGTTTGGGTCTTATATTTATGTTAAGTTCCCTGTTTTAAAGGAGCATTTTCTTTAACATTCTTTAACATTTTTGAACTAATCGAACTAGAAAAGTCAATTGAATTTCCACACAACTAATATGCCCCAATAATAACCCCGGACAATTGTTTTTCCTTTTGGTTTCAAGGTGCACGAAAGAAAAAAGCAAAGAAATGTTATATTAATATTTACCATGAGCCTTCTTCTTTCTGGATTTCGGCGCCATGTCTGATGGCTACAACAACAGCAACAGCAACGTGGGCCAGAGGCGCGCTACAACAACGCTGATGATTTTTATACGGCGACGACGACGGCGGCTGCAATGCAACTTAGTTGTTGTTGCCTCAACGTTCGAACGTTCTTGGTTGTTTTTGTTGCTGGCCTTCCTCTATATAGACGGGATCGGGATCCCGGGTGTTTTTGGGGCCAGTTCCCCGCTTTCAGCCCCTATACTCCTGCCTTTTTACGGGCTGTGCAGCAAAACAATAAACGCGAGGCAGCCGCGAGAAGCAGCAGCAGCAGCAGCAACAAAAGCAAAACAAAAGCAACAGGAGAACTGGATTCGTTGTATCTCGCAGCAGTCTTTGTGGAGTTTTGGAGTCGGAGTCGCAGTCGGAGGTTGGGGTCTTCAAGTCTTGGGTTTGTTTATAGGCAGGCGGCGGCGGTCAAGCCGGCGACACCATGGAGCCCGCGAACAAGAAGAAGAAGAGAGCAAGATGGGCGAAATTATGGGTTTCGCCAAAAACTTGATCCTGCTGCTATCTGGCTGGATGGCTGGCTGGCTGTCTTGTCTCTTTGCCGACGTGCTTTTCCTTTTGGTTTTGCCTTAGCTTGGTGTGAGCGCGTGATCACGTTGATTATAATTATATACGAAAGGTGGCAATACAAATCAGGTGAAACTCAATCCCCAGTTAAGGCATATCCTGTGTTTTAGTCGCTTTTATTTATGTTTACACTATTTCGATCATTGGCACTGACACTTTGTGTTAGCATAGGCAATTTCTAATTTAAATCTTTTGCTTATATTTATTACTCTTTTTGTACACATTTATATTTGGTTTTTCTTTTCGTTAGTTAAAAATATTTCAGCTTGGGCACTGGTTTTTGTAGGAAACTCAAAAATATTTGTTTTTCATAGAGCGCCGCGCTAACGAATTCAACGATTTCTGGATTGTATCTCAACTATATAGCATGGTATCCGGAGGATACGTCACGACTCGCGGAGAACGTAACAACGAATGTGCAACAGTTGAAAACGCCGCTGCTAGTAGACCCAGAAAAGAGAGGAAGAGCGTAGGCTGCTCTCGCGGAAAATGAGAGAGCAAACGAGAGAGTGTAGCTAAAAACGCGTGAATTTGCTCTTAGCGGGCGTTTAAAAACGCGCAGCTCACCTCATAGGAGGCGTTTAAAAACGCGCCTGAACTAAATATACTCTCCGCTCTCTTCGCAGCACTCTCTCCCTTTGCATTTGTTCTTGTTTTGCCAGCATATGCTCTCACTTGAATTTCAAGTTTTTTTTCATACAAAGGTGTGTGCGTGTGTATCTTGATCTTTGAGTTAGCATCGTTGTGTGTTGTTGTGCTCGTATTTCTTTAGCTGCTTATTATAACTGACATATCTAGATGGGGAATACACATAGGGGGTATATATATATATATACGAGTATATCTGTAGAATAAGTTAAAGAGGCAGGGGGAATCGGAATCGCCTGCATAATTGCAGGGCCCTTTTGCATGCACACCATATGCAAGAGGAAGGAGGTATAATAACAGTTTTGGTCGAATTTGTTTGTGGGCAAACGTGTGATTAGCAGCAACACCATTGCCAACTAATAGTACACCGCCTCCTGTTCACCCGAGCGCATCGCATCCATAAGATTGCCATATCCATCGAGAGATACCAAGATATACCGCCAATTGCACATCCACAAGACGTATCAGTTTTCCAGCCACGACGAACGGACTCATTAGACACACAGTAGTCGCTGCTAATTATGGCCTAGACTCTGAGGTTTCCATTCTTCTACCTGTGGAAATCAGAAGCGCTTAGCACTTCGGCTTTATTCAGGTAACTCCAGGCATTAAAAACGCATTTGAACAAATGGACGACCTCTGTGCTCTGCGTATAACTTGCTCATTTTGGTTTATGGACCGCGATAAGCCCCGCCAGAATCAATGCCCTCGAACTTTCAACTTACACCTCCAACGCCATATATTTCTGCTGCCTTACCAAAAAAATGTAACAAACTTGTCAGTCATTACGTTCAAAAAAACTGATAACATTTTCTCGATTTTATAAAAATTTTTATGTTTTATCTTCTAAACTTATATTTCTTTTGATTTAATTTGAATTTAAAAACTTTTTGCTGTGCATTTCCACTCGAATCCCAGTGGTGATCTTTCGTTTATTATCACGCCCGCGGCCATAATTTATTTTGATCTGGTTCTGCTGGGTCTGCTCTGCTTTTGTCTAGTCAAAATCTCTAGATGATGATGCCCCATCCTCCAACTCCAGACTGCTGCTCCCTAAATGCCCAGATTGTGGATGTGGCTGCTGCCGTTGCTGCCTCCGAGGTGTGATTTCTCAAGTGTAGGAGTCATGCGGTGCACAGCCAGACGCTGAGAGGCTGCACCAGCGAAAGAAACAGAGAATTGGAGGAACAGAGAAGGCAACTGAGGGAGAGAGAGAAACTTCCAAAGGGACTTGAAACCAGAGGGCCAGAGGGCATCTCTTCTTGTGCCCCTCCTCCAGAGGAGCCCAGAAATCAAGTTGGATCTGGGGAAGTGCCATCAATTGGGTTTAATGGGTAGTAGCATACCATTTATATTAAGTTCGTTAGAGGAATTAAAAGAGGTGCATATATAACTTATAAGATTAAGTATTTTTTACATTTACATTCCTTCATTCTTTTCATTAATGATAATCCATAAAAAGTACAAAATACGAATATTTTTTTTATTAACTTATCGTACATACAGCCGAACATTATTGTTCTCAGAATTTTTCAAAACAATAAAAAGCCAATTGAGCCATAAAGCTAAAGGAAAGTAATAACAATAAAGCAGTTTTTAGATATCCTCTCAAGAGCTGACCTTTCTCATTTTTAAAAATAATTTATTTTGTAGACAAAAACTTGTATTATCTGTGTGGAAGAAACTACTAAACTTTATCACCTTTAACAAAGCCATAAATCTGATTAAAAGTTTCTAGACTTACTGTAAAAGTAAAGTATTAATAAATCAAAAAATCTTGAACAGATCTTATTATCTTTTTATTGGTTCGCCACGCTTGAGGAATGGACTGTTTGAAATAAAGTGGATTGTGCATAGTCCATGACTTTTGTAGATCTCAATTGATTAGAGTCAGAATTCTGAAAGTTTCTCTAGCGCGAAAATTTCTTAGCGATCCGTGCTAATTATCGCAATAGGCGGACGCGAGGATTTGCTGCATTGCCCAATTAGCACCTGTTCTGAAAAGTCTTTAACCGAGACTTCGATTTGTTCGTTTTATTAGCACTGCAATGTGCTTTCTGATTTGTTTGCTCTCTAACGTTCGAGAAGAAATGCGGGGGCCAAAGGTTGTTCTTAGCCATACATACATACATATTTATTTTAGAATCTAGACAATAGAAAATCCATGTTGGATTTTCGAGTATTTCGTTTGAAAACCGTGGGAGGGGGCGGGGGAACACTTTTCGATTCTATACAATAAACACAAAACGGGGCCGACACTCCCAGGGAAAAGGCCAGACAAACTGGCGGGCCGAATGTATCTGTATCTGTAACGAATCTGACTGTATCTTTGAAATTATTGTTAGAACCGAGCATTAGATACACAAAGATGCTGAGAGCAAACCCTCGGGTCAGTGCAACATGGCCAACAGATGTGCGCAACAGGCTCTCCCAATCAACGAAATCACCAGAAATCAGACAAAAGACGAAGGTCTCGGGAAAGGTCCAAAATGTCATTTGGAGTGTGGCTGGGCCCTAAATCAAAGTCAGGCAATGGTACCCGATTGTTCTTTGAATCTTTTCTTGTCTTTTGGCCGGTAGCACTGTCCAGGCATCTCATGGATACCAGTCTGTGTATCTGAGTCTGCAGGCAGCATGGAAATTTTCGTATTGTACCAGAAATTTGTGTCAACGTGGGCGACACTTTATTGTGTGCTGGTGTTGGTCGGTGTGTGTAAAAATAAACCTAAGACATTTTCATGTTGTCAGCAACATGTGGAAAAATGCTCGGAATTCGTTCCATTCTTGCACACTTTTGCAATGAATTAAAAATCTGATAGATACACAAAAAAAAAATATTAAAAAAAATGTCGAAAGAAAAAATGATCAGCCTGGCAGCTCTTCATTAACACCACAAAATCTCATCTCCATCAAAACGATTCTGAAGTGCAATTAACCAACTCACTTTTGATTCTATCTCAGGTTCAGGTTTTTTCTCCTTTCCGCTGCACTTCCATGATCCCAAGGTGAGGTGTTAAAGTTTTATGGAATTTCAACAACGATAAATTATAATTACACGCAGTGCTGGGCATAAATCTACCCACACACACACACTCTGGGGTTATGAATGCACACAGATACTCCTCTGCCAAGTTGCGAGTCAGCCGCGTCAAACATAATTTGTAAACGCATTAAGTATTCCCCCATTAACACCTTTCGAGGGTGACTGCAGCCTATCGGCTCTATAAATATATATTTTTAAACAGAATTTAATGCCAAAAGAAACACTAAGGGGAAGGTCTTCTACAGACAGAAGGCAACTCAAATCTAACGGAAATCCTATAAAGCATTTGGCGTGCGTTGCCCACCGTCCTCGATAGTATAGTGGTTAGTATCCCCGCCTGTCACGCGGGAGACCGGGGTTCAATTCCCCGTCGGGGAGATGTGTGTGATAACATCTTTTTTTTTGTATCTTAGGTAACATATTTTTCAATTTATTATTAAAAAAAAAAAAAATATATATATATAAATTCATCATAAACCCGAACTGCCTAAGATTCTGTTAGTTCAATGTACTCCTTTTTTTATTTGGCTATCAGTGATATTAAGTTGGTTCGAAGAGTAAAATACTTCTCTTTTAAAAACAAACACTAACTATAAGATATTGAATTCAAACTTCAAATCTTACTTTTAAACCAAATAAAGCTTTTTGTTTAAAATAAAAAATAAATAGTTAAAATAAAAAATAAATAGTTAAAAAAAAAAATGATTTCACATCTCTCCCCGACGGGGAATTGAACCCCGGTCTCCCGCGTGACAGGCGGGGATACTAACCACTATACTATCGAGGATGTTGAACTAAGATCGCCAAATTCGAAATATGACTTGGTCCAACGGAATTCTAATGATCGTTAGATATTTTTTCAGAATAGTCTAATCATGTATGTACGTATATCTATTAGTTAAGATTAGATTTTATGATAGTTGATTCAGATGATGATTTCCATGTTTTGAAGTTTATCATAAATGAATGTTTATATTATTAAAGACTTTTCCTAATAGGCACATTACAATAATTCCCCCAAGACTTACCATTTTCCATAGCCTTGCTTTTCTCGTTGTCGGCTTCCTCGTATCCCTGTGATCCTGGTCCAGATCCCATTTCCATGCCGCTCAAAGCGGCGGCGGCAATAGCTTCGACGTCATGCTGAACATTTGCACTGAATTCACCTACAAGACAAATAGAAATCGGGAAATAAGAAATATAAGTAAATTGAAAAACTGTGTAAGCTAATTTGTAAACAAAAAAAGGGAGAGCGGGTGGGAGTCTTGGCACTTGAGTTGCTCTTCTGTGGCGCCAAGCAAATGTCAATTAATAATTTAACAACAACAATTGCGCGTTTGTCGGGCGCCTGAAATACGAGATCTTAATTGAAAACTGAAAAACAGAGAAAAAGAGAGAAAGAGGCGGTGCATATTGGAGAAAAAAGTAAGATGGGGAACTACTCCAACTCTCTTCCTGCGGCAAGCGGATGAGCGTGGGCCAA